TTATTGATTTCAGAAAGGAAGGGAGAGGCAAAGAGAGAGAGAAGCATCAATGATGAGAGAGAAATATTGATTGGTTGCCTCCTGCACGCCCCCCACTGAGGATGGAGCCCACAACCCAGGTATGTGCCCTGACCTGGAATCGAACCATGGCCTTACACTAGCTGGGCTGGAGTTGTTCCATTTTTGAGACAATAAATTATTAAGCACCAGACTATAACCTGGAAGTTAAAACAATTTCTTTTCAGGTTTTGAAACCTGATTCCATCAATTTATTACAACTCCATGACTCACTAGGTGAGCTGCCAACCAGGGAGACCTAAATTGTTACCTCACCTGTTTCTAAAGCAAACACCTAACTATCTCTGACAGAGTTACTAACTAAATGGCCTTTCAAGTAATATAGAAAACAGATAATATAATTTGTCTAGACTTCCTACCAGTTATAATTAACATTAAAGAGGTCTTTTCTTCTTTGTCACCTCTCTCTATTCAGTACTTATTTGGGTTTGTTTGTACTTACTATCTGTTAATCTCCCTTTACAAATGACAACAATAACTAGTGCTATTATGCTTGGAAATTAAACATGCTGATAACTGTGTGAAGGGAACTGGAGCTGAAAAAATATTAAAGCCTGTAGCTCTTTATACCTCTTGTTTTATTTTTATAATTAAGCTTTTGGTCATGGTCTATTTTAAACAAAACTCTTCTATGGGGGAAATAGGCCCTAATCATATTCAATATATGCTTTGCTTTCATTCAATTTTTTCAAGTACACTTTGGTTAACCCTTTGTTCCTCCCAACAAATAATAACTGAATGTATTAAATCTACCTTTCAAAGAACATTTGTGTACTTAAAAATAAATATGCCAGCTCTTTGAAAAAAATCCCATGATGGGGCAAATCATCCATTGCAAGATCTCACAGTAAAATTTACCTTGCATGGGTGTTAAAAATGAAGTAAATGAAAATACTAACATTTTATAAATTTACTTTGAATTACTACTCACAGAGACAAAACTAAACTAATGTTCATTTCCCATGTTGGGAAATAATGTACTGTCCAAAACTATGTTGCCAAGTCAATAGAAGAAAAAAAATTTAATAAAATGTAGTTCTTTGGAAGTCAAACCTATAAAAAGATTTGGGCTTTAATAAAAACTTCCAAAACC